CAGCTTTATGCTAATGTACCCGTTACTTTCCAAATATTACTCCACTTTACGTAACACCAGAGAGAATCTCTTTGTTCCGTGCAGCACCGCCGTTTCCGACAATCAAATATAATTGCCTTTTTTTTAATTTTGTTTAATACTTTGTCTTAGAAATTCTTCGAATTTATCATAAAATATGTTTTCACGAAATTCTAACGATTCATGTGAATATTCTGTTATTTTTTTTTAAGAGATAAAAAGAAACGTCTTATCTTGAATATTATTTTTTAAAAGCGTTTAGGACGTATTTGCTGTTTTGAAACAATGGAATAGTCGAAAGACAAAGTGAAAACTGTTGCAGGTTCGATACCGATCGACGTGCAGCTCACGTGGCCGCTTATGTATTCGAGCAAATCTAAAATCACCGCTCGAACATCACGGCGGAGTTTCTAACACGTTTTCAACTATTCAATTCCCGGAGAGTTGCACCAATTATATAACCGATTGCAATGGATTCACTTTCTAGTTATCTGAAATCTAGATTTTATCAAAGTATTTTGTCACATTGTAAATGAAGCATACAATATTTTTTTGCAATTCTTTACTTTGACGGATTAACATTTGCAGACGCCAATTGATTAAACATAATTTTTATACAGCAATGTTTGCTATAAAAATTCGCGGACAAAGCAATTGGACAAATATAACTATGTTAATTTTTAAATATAGTTACTCCTTCCCAAGCTTCATACATATTTATCAAAATATTGTAATTAAAAATGTATAAAAATTGAGAAAATCGTGTCACATAGGCTGATTAGAAAATAATTATGGTGAATGGCGGTCGGTTGATTGAAACCAGAATATACGAGACTGCTAAAGATGGAATGGAATATGAAGAAGCTCGTAAACGTTTAACAAACTTGTAAAGAGGGTATACCAACAGTTGGATCGAATTCACGAAAACACGAAACAGCATCGGTCGTGTATTTCTGGCGAATTTTAATGACCTGTTAGTTTATCCACGCAGACGAATGCCGTCCAACAGATCGGTGTCGTATATTATCTACAGACACGCCTACAAAAAGTTTCCCTTCATTCTTGTTTTTCAAACCGCGGAACATGTTTACTTAAACAACGTTCAATAAACAACGATAATTTCACTAGTTTCTAATACTCACTTTTACAATTTCAGCATAAACGTTTTATAATTATTATGAACCTGAGTAAATACTGTGTTTCATATATATAACAAACTCAAAATAATTATAAGTTCCGACTGCAACTTTCATTATCAGAAAATAACAGCTGAATAATTTACGTACACGTTTAACATTCAGTAACTTTTCACTTGCGGTTCAACCGGCAAATTCTGTTAAAATTTTGTTCCGAAAATATTTAACGAGCGTAATTAGTGAAGCAGACATTTTCTAGAGTTCAAGCTCGCACCGGGTTATGCGTATGCAACGAGTCGATCGATTGCACAAGCCGCCAGCAGAATCGCCCGCAGAAAAGCAGATCATTTTAATTACGTTCACCCGCTTCCTGGTTAGATCAGGAAACTCGGATAGGGAAACGAAGAACGGTTTTTCCCTGCATTGTTCTGATGCTGCGACGTTTAAATCGTTGCTTTCTTATATCACTGTGTCGACGGCCGGTGTAAAACTGTATTTAAACACTGCACCGGTTATTATCCCTTAACTTAATTTACACTCGGTGCATCCTCGCTGATGAGATTCAGCTTCCCGTTGTTCGGGAAGCGTTAGAATGAATGCGGAAGGAAAGTACGTATACCTTGTGGCAATAATCGTCTTTTAAAGTCTTCCTCCTTCGCGACAATAAAACAAATATCTGAGCTGAGCTACGTTCCTTCAAACTCACTTAGCTTCTTATGCTCGCTTTCGCAGTTATCTCATAACCGGACTATTCTTACGTAAAATAGAATCTCCTTTAAAAACAACGTCTGTGTACGTGATCAAACGGACAGACGAATAACATTTTATGTTTGTATGTAATTAATGCATATTTTATACAGGATTTGAGAAGCTCCTAATTCCATATATCAAATAAATTGATAGCGAATGATTTCACATCTGGTTTCTAATCCGGTCCCTTCTAAAGGTCGGCAATAAAAAACAAGTGAAATTCGCCTTCTCCGTGTGTTTAAAAATCAATAGACCCTTCGAGATTCGAAAGTGGTCATCAATTCTTTTTTCTTACTTATTATGCGTTTCGTAATCGTTATGCCAGTTTTAATTAAACCTAAACGGCAATCGTGTCATTAAACGTGTTTCGAAAGGATCCTAGATCTAATGGGGGACAAAAAAAAAAAAAAATGAATGTCCTTCTTTTTGAACTCTTAAATTACGTGGAACGATGATTTCGCCGTTTTGCAAAAATGATTCCTACACGAATAACGAATCGTATCCGCTCGAGGCACAGTGAAAGTGACCAAACATTATCCTTTATAAAAGTAGAAGCAATCCTAAATTACTCGAAAGCTTATGGTCCATCCTGGTAATAATTGAATACTTTCAGCAACGTTCACGCGTGCACTTGAACATCCTTACTAGGATCAGTGCTGCGTCGAATACGTTTGATCTTTGACATTCGACAGCGAATTATAGAAAGTAATAGGCACTACGTAATATTTACATTATTCCTTTTATAAGTACTCATTGTCTATAAAAAATCTGACGAACATTTTGGTGAAAGTTGTGGATTGATAATAAACAGCTTGAGTTGATGCATTTATAGAGAAATACGATGACAGAGAATGCATTATGATAGAACTTGATTAACAGGCGATTATTAAAATTTATAGAATGCAAATGAAGATCGTGTAAAGTATAAGCAATTGGAAACTAACAGCTTCCGTTATCCGAACGTTTGAAGATATTTGATGAAAGTATAATTAGCTAATTTACGAGCGTAACCCGAACTCCATAAATAAGTTTCGCAACCTATTTTCACCAGTTTAGAAAATGTACTTCTCTTGAGAAAGCGATCTTTTATGATCATTGAAAGCATTTAATTAATCTGCTCTCGATCGGCTACTTATTAATATAAATTCATTGAGAATTGTTAATGTATTTGTATTTTCTTCTCGACAAGTGGTAAGGAGCGTCAAGTGAAGAGAAGGGGTGAACCGCCTCGGGGAATAAGTGTACTGGAAACGGTAACCTGGAAGCGCATTAGCCGGTTTAGAATGTGGGTAAGGATGCGACGAATCGGAGAAATGCATCAGGAAGCCCACGCGAGAAGATGCACGCTGTAAACGGTTTATAGAGTTAGGTACTTTCGATTCCATCCGCGGCTCTTCCTATCGACGATACCTTTCACCGTCCTTCCTTTCAGCGACGATGCGGCATTAGAACGACGCGGAACTAACATAACGATCGCTAAAACGAGACATTAATAATAATTAAAAAAACTGAGTCTAGATTTTATCGTTTAATGTTCTACACATCCTCATTTTCTCTAGAGGCACAAAATCGGTCTTACAGCTGCTCTGCTTTTCGTATATTTCATCTTTTAATGTTCCTCAAGTTTTCTCTAATTCAGTCTACTTACACGATTTAGTATTATAAAACACGATCTGAATGTATGTTAATCGTGGGATTCTCATCTCGATCATGACTTACGAGGTATGAGTTTACACAGGATTCTCATTGGATGCGGTTCGCGTGAACTTTCACTCGAAAATGCGAACGAGCATAAGTCCCACGGTAAGAAGATGATAGGCAGGGTCAACGGTACTCATTGGAAGTCGTGAAACTCGCGTTGTTCTCCATGCCGGCCGGTTTTCTCTGCCGATGCGCCGCGGTCGACGTACTGTGCGCGCTCGTAGGTAATTTTTGATCGTGACCCAGTATCAGAGAAATCTTACCGGGATTTCCACCGCGGTCCAGGGAAGGTCGATAGAATTTACTTTTGTCCAAGAGTTTCGTTTCGCGTAAAAATTTCGCGGCGATCTACCGGAAAGACGAGCGTATAAAAAATGTCAGTTGCGCGATCCGCGCCCAGGGCGATACGATTGGGCAACGAGATCCCCGTGTACACGTGTACCCGAACGAAATTTCTCCCCGTGTGGCGAGCGAAAAAGGAATAAAGAAATGTGTCCGGCTGGAATTCGAACGGTCTGACCCGTGTCACGGACACACGGAAATGGAAATCAGCATCGATTAGAAACGCTGAGATAAGCGATTTCTTATGCTGATTCGACTTACGAGGTATTGATAATGTGTAAATTTCGAGTGAATCTCGTTTGGAGAATTTCGGACACGGCGAAGAAGAAAATCGTCGCTTTCCCGGGATTTTATACAAACGAAAGATGCGAGTGGATCGGTGATTGCATAAAAACACTTAACTGTACTAATAGTGAAAGCAAACACAACCGTGTGACGTCCTTTCCTGTTAGCGATTGAATACCAGCATTCCAAGTCTCGTTTTATCTAGCTGGATGCACCAGCTTGTAACGCTAATTATTACTGAAAATTATAGTCATTTCTCTTGACTTGCAGAAAATGGTTTTCACCATCGAGTAGTTAAATACGACTTTGACATTGCAAAATTAAAAAAAACTGCAACACCTACGTGTAACCTAATTATGCAAAGTAGCTCACGACTGGAATCACGTTAAAACTTCGAACAAGAAACGACTTTTACTTCAATCATTCGAAACCAATTAAACGTCGTCACCCTTCGAGGCGTTAATTACGCGGAGAAAAGAATGAAAACCCGAGCAAACAATGAGCAGTATGAAGCTATGGAAAGCGTTCGCGTGAGAAACGAGTGGAATTAATAGCGAGAGACAATGTTACGACAAAAAGAGTCCCCGTCCTCGTCTGATGCCACCTAAATGCCCCTTTTACCTTCGACGAGCAACCACGACACGAAGATCCCCTCCAGAACCAGAGTTCAGGATGTAACGGACCCCCATATAGCACCGCGTACTCATGGTACCCCACCTCAAGATGTCTCTATGCTTAGGGCGACTAGGCACCTAGGCGGAGGAACATTCGCTATAAAAGACTCCGGAGCTACCAGGAATTTGTCAGAGGAGTGACGAACCGTAACTTTTTTTTTCTTCCAAAAATAGGAAAGAGGATTATAGAGGCGGCAGCCTTTGCCGTTTTCGTCTTCGCGCGGTGACACCCCTTAAACCTGAAGATGAAGCCTAGCCTGGTCAGTGCACAAGTGTATACCCGTGATCTACAGTAGTGATCCTTTTGTTGATAAGTGGTAGGAGATTAAGTGCTGATGGATTCTCTTTGTTCACCGAGGTTCTTCTCATCCCTTCGCGTTCCACTTATCTCGTGTGACTCGCAGTGTCAATATCCTGGTAGACTGTGGATTTTATGCATTTACATTAAATATACGCAGAGAATATAGAAATGCATTAAAACAATGAAACTTTAGATTTCATTTTTTAAAATGACGCCGTGAAAGTTTAATTTAAAAAATCTGCAGTCTACTAGTTATACTAGTCATTTTGAGGCCAAGTTTAGTAGCCTACTGGCCTATAGAATTCTCTCATATTTCTTCTGGAATGAAATTCGTGTCACTGTTTCTCGTTTGGCCAAACCAGTTATTAGTCACTGACCTAAGTCTCATTAATAATTAAAAACTGAGCGCTACTTCGGTATTCGTCTGGTCCTCACCGACGAATCGCAACTATCCACTAGGAAGTATCCCGAATAGATATTCTCTCGGAGTGCTGAGTGGAAAGTCGAGCATCGTGCCTCGAATCTCATGAAACCGTATCGAAGATGGTTAAAATCCATTCACCTGATCCACTTGCAACAAATTCTTCAATTATTTCATTTCTTCATTTATCCTTTAGCAGTCTCGTAACATTCATACATTCTTTTAACAAACTTATGTATCACTTTAGTTGTGTTCCTCTTCGACCGAGATTAAAATGGAATTCTTCTGTTTTTCACTTTTCTCCAAGGCGATTTTTATCTTCAAGGTACGAGGAACGAGAGCGTCATACTTTTCCTTTTCTATCGTTAAATTAATGCCGTTGCCGGCGACTTTCTATCGGTCCCTCCCCCTCTCCTCCCCCGTCTCCCTGTGTCACTTTCATAAATTCGGTTTGGATGTTCGGATGTCAGACTTCGAACGTGGATAATTCTCTTCGGCTTGCCAAAGGATGCCGGGCCTTGATCTTGACATCCGACTCGCGGTAACCGACGTAACAGGAGCGGAACCGTTCACCAGAATGGTTACTGCACCATTCCAATGTAAAAACAAACAAGAGAATGTACAGTGGATACAAAAAGTATTCCCATTCTCAGCGTGCAGGAACTAGACTGCAGGCCTCATGCAATTACAGCAGAATTGTATCATACAGAAAATGTATTTAACATTCGAATTATTTATTGTATATACGTTGAATAGAGTTTTTGAAACGAAATTTTTACACGAAGTTCCGTAGGCACTAGTCGTTACGTAAATGCGTGTGCACGTTTGGGGTGGGAAATGAAACTGCGGGGTACGAGCTGGAAAGTAGGCCCCCGGCGTTAATGAGCAACCACGAGTTTCACGATTGGCCCCCTGTTTCGGCGTGGAAAGAAGAAAAAAAAAAAGACGGGTCACCGTTGACCCCATTCACGGGCCCCGTTCGTTAGTTCGCACGCGGACACTTTCATTTTTGAGAGGCACGTAAGCGACCCGTTGAAGATATATTTATTCATAACTTTTTTTTAAAGACTGTGGGAAAAGTTCCTGTCGACCGCTATCACCGTCGCTCTTCCTCCCGCGGCTTCAAAAGCATCGCCAACGATATTACATTCCAAACAGAATTCGTTTAAAATGATTTACGAAGTAATATTTGATTTCGTTTGAAGAGATGTAACTATAGCTTTTCAGATTACCGTCCGAAGGTGTGCCTTTTCATTGTTCTGGGAAATGAAGTGTAAGGTCGAGATGGAAAGGGGGATAGCAGCGTGCGAAGGTCGGGATGAATATAGATTGAAATCAGTCTGTAATTATTAAGTATAATGCTCGTGGACGGGGTATTACTTCGGTTAAGAGATACTATCGGTAGCTGGTTGAACGACTGGTATTGTGTTAGCGCAGGGTAATTATGCAGTCACCTAGATGACTAACGTGCCATGATCGGTTCATTTGCATTTTTTGTTCGAAACACGCGCTTTCTTCCGTCAGATTTTCAGTTTGATTTACATCGAACGCAACACTTCAAGTAAAATTTTTACACCGACCAACTTCTGATTACAGCTATTCCTGTGCTGTTTCCTTTTTGTCTCCACCTTTGGGGAGCCGATAAGGACAAAAAAAGAGTAAGCAACAATATATTTGAACGACGTCGATCTCAGGTATGATAAAGTAAAAATTATCGATTCCAGAGCACCCTTAAGCCCACCCCCGAGCCAGTATAGTCCACCATCGACTTCTTATGGTGCTCCAAGCGGAGGAAGTTCTTACAGTGCACCGTCTGACTCGTACGGTGCTCCTCCACCACCACCGTCTTCCTCTTATGGCGCACCATCCTCTTCCTATGGTGCACCGTCGTCTTCCTACGGAGCCCCGACAGGAGGAGGCTCTCATGGTGCCTCGTTATCGTCTTACAGCGCTCCGTCCTCTTCCTACGGTGCACCATCGTCGTCTTATAGCGCTCCATCCTCTTCCTATGGTGCACCATCAGCCCCGTCCTCTTCCTACGGTGCACCATCATCGTCTTACAGCGCTCCATCCTCTTCCTACGGTGCACCATCAGGCCCATCGTCATCCTACGGTGCTCCATCCTCTTCCTATGGTGCTCCGTCAGCTCCATCGTCCTCCTACGGTGCCCCGTCAGGACCATCGTCCAGTTATGGTGCACCGTCCGGCCACGGATCCTTCGATCAAGGTTACAGCAGCGGAGGCGACGACCACCACGGTGGATCCTTCGGCGGTGGTGGATCTTTCGGTGGCGGTGGATCCTTCGGTGGTGATTTCGGAGGAGGAGACCATCACGGTGGAGGAGGAGACCATCACGGTGGAGGAGGATTGTCCTCGTCGTACGGACCCCCGTCGCAATCTTATGGACCACCGGCGCAATCGTACGGTCCACCAGCCCAGCCCCAAGGACGATGGGAGAAGAAGCTGACTTGGAAAGCTGAATGGAAACAGGTTTGGAAGAACGAGCAGAAGCTCATCTGGAAGCAAGAATGGAAGAAAGTCCAGGTGCCGGTGTGGAAGGAAATCCAAGTGCCAGCCTGGAAGGAAGTGAAGGTGCCTGCTTGGAAGAAGGTTCAGAAACCTGTATGGAAGGAGATACAGGTGCCAGCGTGGAAAGAAGTTCAGGTGCCCGCTTGGAAGAAAGTCTGGAAGCCGGTATGGAAAGAAGTGAAGGTCCCTATATGGAAAGAGATCCAAGTGCCCGATTGGAAGAAGATTTGGGTGCCCGAATGGGTGAAGATCGGCATTCCTGGCGAACAGTACGTTGGTAAGGATCATCATGGCTGGCAGTACACTAGCCACGACTTATGGAAGAAGAAGCTGATCTGGAAGCCTGTTTGGAAGAAGATCTGGAGGACAGAGAAGAAACAAGTTTGGGTCAGCGACAAGAAGCTCGAGTGGAAGGCGGAGTGGAAGCAGATCTGGAAGACGGAGAAGAAACAGGTATGGGTGACGGACAAGAAGCTCGTGTGGAAGGAGGAATCCGTTCAAGTTTGGGTGCCCGAGAAGAAACAGATCTGGGTCACGCAGAAGAAGCAGGTGTGGAAGGACGAGTGGAAGAGTAAGACGGTGCCCGTTTGGAAGGACGTCCAGGTTCCCGCGTGGAAGAAGGTGTGGAAGCCCGTCTGGGAGAAAGTTTGGGTGCCCGAACCCCACCACGACGAGCACCACGGGTACAAGTAAAATTGTATTCCAAAGAGATTCGCTTCCTCGTTACGTCGCTACCGGGACGTTGTTAAGTTTTGTTTCTCCGCTAGTGTGGGAGGGTTCAGAGGTCGAGAGAGCCGCGCTCCTCTCGTCGGGAAACGAGGATTCTCGGCGAATTAACAAAATTCGTGATACCGCCACGAAACTGATATAATACTTAAGAGTTCTGATAACGGAAACGTCTCCACGTTATCTCGTAGGGAAAAAGAATGTAATGACGCTGTTTGTCCGCATCGCGGACAGAGCGATCATGACACGATGTAATTATTTTGTTACTTGTAAATAACGATAGTGGTGTAAACGTATCGATATTTTTGTACGACGATGCATATTACCATAATAAAACCTACTTTTTTTTATCATCTCATTTAAATCCTTCCGGTACTCCAAACCGTGTAATTTATCAGCTACAAAAAAAAAAGAAGAAGAAACAATTAATTAGACATTATCTCTTATCTGTTTTGCCAATTAAATAGAGATAATAGAGCGAATCAATTTCCATTTTATCTAATCCATGTCCAAGTATTGTCAATTTTATCTAATCTTGTCTAATTAATCATTTTCTCAAGTGGGATCATTAGTCATAGAGAAAATAAATCGTCGGAGAATTATATTCACTGAAGACCGCGTGATTGTTTTAAATCTAACTCGTATACTCTTTTGGAGAGTCACTTTTTACCTAAGTAAAAGTGCAAAGATGTTCATCACGATTCCCAGGCAAACGCGGCATGAAACACAAGAAGCGTGTTCACTCGACAAGACATTAATTCTCGATGAAAGCGCTTAGGTTTCTAACGAGTAGAAGGAAGATGAGCCGGAAGGAGACAGAAGATGCTTTCTAGGGATAAGAAGAGATTCAAGGGAACATCTCCGGGACCTCAGGGTCGCGATTCATGCTCACGACCTTTACTTTCTCCGTTCCCGCGCACATGTCACATCCCGTACATGTGTGTGGGTATGGGAAACAAGACAGGTCGAAGAGGAGACCGGAAGTTGCACGAGCAGTCCATTATCGTGGACGCGGGCGGACGTGGTCAAAAATATAAAACCGGGAAGCGACTTTCGAACGCCGAGGCGCTTCCTTCGGGCATTATGTATTAAACTGCACGAAGATGAGGTTTTTTTTTTCATTAAACATTAAACGCGTCCTCTAACGAGAGGAAAGTTTTAATAAGAAAACGATTAATTGTAAAGAGGCACTCGTTTTCATCTCCTGAGTTCATCGGTTCATTGACTTCGTATCTCACGTTAGGTAATTGTCAGATTTCTCTTCCTGTATCGAAGAAGATACGTACGTACTTTATATTAGTAGATATCGAGTTCACAGAAATGATCGTTAAACGTTTGTCAATCATCAATCAGAGACCAATCATTATTTCTTATGAACATTCTAATTTTTTTTATCCTATGTATTAAATTCTCTACAATCTTTATCTCAATTTCAAAAGGTTTTATAAAAGTAATGAGGGAAGTGAAATTTCCTTTATTGCGAAAATTGTTTGGATGAAATTAATGTTTAGATTATCTTACGATTGGTTCATTTCAATTGTTCATGTATTTTCTAGTAAATCTTAGAAAGTAACGCCAGATAGAGTCACTTGTGGGTTTCAAAGGATTTCTCTTCTCTCCTATTACGAATCCCACTAGAAATTGAATGAGTCTTCCTTATCACAGTATAAGAAAGAATATTAGGTCCACTCTGTCTAAAAGTATACTAATAATTGATTAATAATTAATTGAGTGGAGTTAGAAGGAAATTGCATAAAGCCTTATTTATAGCTGACGACTAGAGCTACAATTTTTGTCTGAAACATTTTTCGCTATTGCAAAATACTCGTCCCACCCACAAAACGGCAAACTTTTGTAACGATCATTAAAGAATTAATAAACCTTAATATCACACATTGCGTACTGCATAAGCGTTACAAATTGAGAAATAGATTTCTTATCAGATTTGCATGATGAATCAACTATTCCTGGTCTATTCGTAGTATCGAAAGTTATTCATGCTTTATGTATGGCACGACACGAGGACATATACGATCACACGTATTACCCAATAGAAAGTGAATTCATATGTTGGATTTAAAGCAATTACTATTGTTGTATTATAAAAAGACA